GTGTTTGAAGGACGAATTCAACGATAGAATGAAGGTCGAAGAAGGAGTAATTCACCTAGTTGAGGGACCCGCGGACCTCCTAAGGGTGCGGACTGAAGCGCAATTGGCACCGAAGGAGTTGACCTCGGCGACCTATTAAGGCTCAATCTTGGCGCGGTGGGCCAGTGCACGCCCACCGATCATCTGATCACTCGCCGCAGGTCTATACGTGGCGATTGATTAGATAGGTGAGAGAGCGTAGTGTTGAAGAGGGCACAGCGATGAGAGTCGCATCAATGCTCAAATCAACGGGCAAGGAAGGGGTCCCATTTCTCGGGTTCTGGGCCGTTTCTCATGGTTCTTCCTTCTTTCGTGTACCACTCACCATCCCTAGGTTAATTTGAAATGGGTTGCTTTTTCATCGTGAATTCTTTTAAATGCACAAAAATTCCTCAATATTGTTGACATAGGCGCTCCACAAAAGAGGTATTCCTTCAAATAACCTAAACTAGATGAAGACTGAATAAAGTCTTGAGATTCGAATAGGAGTCGGGCATGCGGGGATTCCAGTGCTCCACATGTGTGGGGATATGGATATCATATTTGGATATCCAGTGCTCCACATATTTTCATAATCACAGTAGATTAATTTCATTCTTAACATACACAATGGATTCCTGCGAAGGTGGTCTTAAGTGTACTGGCACATTCAGTGAAGCCTGACACAAATTTATCACCCATTTCTAAACTTTTGTTGGCGCTAGAAGGTGGAACCCAAAGAGCAGATTTGAACCATTCAACAGGCGTGGTAGTAACGGCACCCCTTGCCAAGTGCACCGTCCCTCTCGAAGCTAAGATCACAGCTGAAAGCTAATGCTCAAGATTGTCTCCACTAAGTGGTTTTGTGCGCTGCTTTCTCCTCACTCTATTTCTGGTGCAGAAATGGGAATCCCTCTTTCAAGCAATGTTCTTCCCGAGGACAAGACGAGCTTCGAATTCTTTTGTTCTCCTATAAAAAAGTCAATTACAAGTCGCATTTGTGAGGAAGAACTCAGTGCTAAGAAACCAGTATTTTTGTCACTGACTGCAGACTAATGAAATAAAATATGTTTTCAGGTCTTGCACCACACGTCTTTCGTTTCTGGTCGACGATAAATGTGATTATCAACACCGTAGTTATTGGAGCATATGCAGTTATTATCGTACTTGTTCGCATTAAAGGTATCTGGTTTACATGCTTGAATTGCGACCAGAAGCAATTCCCGAATAGAAGTCATCCTGAAAGCTTTAGTAACAGACCTACTCGAGCCTCATAAAAAGGAAGTTTTCCAGGAGAATCGGCGACTTTCCGCGAGAGCCAAAAAGCAATTCGGAGTCTCAAGGTCATCGTTATCATTTTTGTTTTCTCGTGGTACATGGCGATCCTAGGAGTAAATTTCGGCTATGTCCTTGGGTTATCACCCGGTCTGCTGGCCATATTATCAAAGCAATATGGTGAGTTGTGTCTGGCTATGGCTATCAAAGGAGTTTTGAAGGAACCGTGGACCGAATCAGTCCGTAAATCGACATATCTATAAGAAAATTAGTTCAAAGGTTCGGCCCGGTAAGGTTGCTGAGTATGTCCTGTCAGCTGTAATCCGTGCTGGCTGTTTTGCTTATTGTTTGTTACCACTCCAATAGTCCTTTCCGACATGGGAAAATAAGATCTTACGGGGACACCTGGCCCCTCTCGGGAACCATTGTCTAGCTCATTCCATCGTGGTTTGATTCGTTCTCCTCCGAGGAAACATAGGTATGGTCGCTGCTCCGAGGGATTGATTTGAGCCAAGCACTTTCCCTGTTCCCCAAGAAATTCAAACTGGTTGTTGAAAGTCCGAATTCTGATCCACTGTAAAAACGCCCTGCCATTCGCTTTTCTAGAATTAATGTTGGCCAATGGCGGACCGAATAAAACATCTGCTGAGCAACACTCACATAGAAATGGAATTAGTAAATCGCTTCTAGCAAAAAAAAAAGCAGCTTTTGAATGTATTGCCTACTTTTTTATGTAGGCGATTAGCTTCGGAAACTGAGCAGTGGGAGAGCAGCTGCTCCGCTGAAAAGTGCTGACTTCCGGAATACCCTCGAAATGTTTGATCCTGAGCTACGCAAAACTAGAAGAAGAAAGAGAAACTTGTCTCTGAGCCAATTCTATTAGATGTCGTACAGTATATAGTAATCATGCATGTGTGTCTTTAGAATGAAGCAATAAAAAAGTCGTATTGCACTCAACGAATTGTTGTATTCACATAGAAAAGGTTCTTTTGTTGCAATGCCACACTCTTAATCGAGTCAGCCTACCAAACTTATGATTAACAAAAGCCAATCCTACCAAAAAGCACAGCACTGTTGAAAATCTTTTCGAAATTTGTCGCCTGGTTGAGTGGAAAGACGTTGCATTATCTAACAAAGACGTAACAGCATCTTATGAACAAGCCGACAGCGAAGAAAAAATGTACAAAAAGGATTTTAGTTTTCTGCTACATCGCACATTCGCAATGCTCCCGCGACCCTGAATCGGTCCTGAGCAATGTGCACATGCGGTTCGCGCGAGCTGGAATTACAAAGAGATATTATTAGAAAAGGGCAGCCGCTGTCAGAATTTGTCTTCAAGAAAAGTCGGTGAATCTCCAATTTTGAGGTAGCACCTCAAAATCTGGAATGAATGTGTTGAAAATTTACTGCTAATGCTTCTGTACGAGGCGTTCGTCAACTTAATTGCTAATGATCGATATTAAAGAGTAAGCTATTATTCTAAATGTCAATCTGGCAAGAGTGTGTGAAGTGCGCAACTCTGGCAGAAGTCGTGTCAACGAACCCCTTCTGTGTGCATTAGAGCACGGGTTCAGTAACGGATGTGGCCCTCCCATGGATTTGGCCGGCCATGGGCGCTAGGGCCTTGCAAAGTTACCATCGTAGCAGCTGTGTGTATGGCGCCTCGCGTTTCATGCTCTCTTCTTCGCGCCAGCCTTTCATCTCTCAAACAGAGCTGCGCGTGCGAAGGTTGCCTAGGCATTTTCGATACTGTCGGTTCAATTCATTTCTTATTCATGATATTTTTCATTTTTTTACCTTGCTCCAATGCCCTAAACTGTAATTGTTCCCAATTTAGGTATTCTTCGCCTTGCTGTGCTACTCACAAACCTTCTACGTGTGTATCTGGCGTTCCTCCGAATACAGGACGGCCTTCAAGGAACAGCTGTACTTAATGATCTGCCGAAAACGCAACCAGCAAGTTGCCCAAATAAGCAAGACCACTGCGTCGAAAAATCGTCCATACACCGCTAATCTCACTTTTGGATGAGTTCTTTTCCTCAATGTTCTGAATTTTCGAGTGCTGTGGTCGCTGATCGGTTTAGTGTAGTTCTGCTTTATTTTTACAAAACATCTATAAAGGTTAATTTGAAGTGCAATTTGTTGATTCCTGTCTCAGCTTCCAAATTCGTTGTACGTCTAATGTCACTACGCTCAGCTCCGAGCGTTCCAGCACCTCATTGAATATCTGAAAGTGAATTTGGTGTGTACTTTTATAGCGATTGCACATGTTGATAGAGTAAGTACAGTATCACGCCACGAAACACAAGTATCCCGAGAATTCGCAGCTTTTTTAGCAGTAGGTTTATGCCAGCTCCCTTTCTACATCACAAGAGAGCGACGAAGAACACACAAGCAAGTTTACAGACCGCTCGACCAACACAGCGGCATTTTAAGTTATCATATAAAAGGAGGTAAACACTTGATTTCCGGTTGATTAGACAGCCTGCCCATGAGCCAAAAAGGAGCATCCAGTAAGTCTTTTATTAGCGAATAGGCCCCATTCTCAATGCACGTTCGCACGCATTATATGTACTGCAATACATACAGGGTGGGAAAAAATTGCAGTGACTAGAGTGCGCCACTAGCAATTTTCAACTCCAGACATCAGAAATTTTAATGTACTTTACGTATTTATTAGGTCATCTCATTCAAACATGTCCACGGTTTTATTCGAATAAAATGAACAGCAGGAAAGATAAAAAGCTAATACTTTGGTGTTAAGTCAAGCAGATCTTGTCGTTGTTAACGACCCGATCCCAGCGTCTAGAAAACACTGGACACCGCGCAGCTTCTTCATTTCAACAAGTATAGACAAGATGCTTTTGATGTCAGTATAGATGATCAACGAATTGTCGTAGCGCTTCCCAACGAGTAGGGCGTTCAGTTCGATAAAACAGCTGAGGTCGCATGGCTGCAGTTGGGAAAATACGGCTGATAAGAAGAGGTCACAATATCCGTTTGGTCGAAATACCCGTGAGCAATATGAGCTATGTGGGGTCTGGCATCGACATAGGTGATGATATCGTTATTGTAGTTTTGTACTGCTATTCCTTTGTCAATTTGATCGCTAAGAAACAAGCCATACACTTGAGAAACCGATGGAGGTTTTTTCCCGACAGAGCCATTTAAGAGGCACATCTCAGAAATCCATCGCCATAATAATCATCCACGTGAACCCACGTGACTTCTCGTGATCCAATTCGGGCAGTTCCTCATTCGCGTTAATCCAAAGTTGACACTTCTGACTTGGCCTCAGCGTACAATTACACACAAATTTCGTTTATGAGCAGGGTCCAGTTTGATAGTCTTAAATGCCGTTATTGGCAGAGAAATCATTGCTACAGACACCAATTCGATTCTGGACTCCTGCATCTGGGAGTAAATGGGATATCCAAAAACATGTTCTGTGGACCATCCCCAATTTTTGGGCACAATTTCGCGTAACAGGTGCAGCTAGACTGCAAGTCTCGTGGGCAAACATCGCAAAGGTTCAACATCTGTGATGCGCCATTTGAAACCTCATTTCATCCACCCGCTCTTCTTGGGCAAGGTGGGCAATATGAGCGCGTCCTCAACCACAACTCGCATCCGTTCTTCCTTCTTTGAGCTCTCACACCATATCTTCAACGTAGCACTTCGAGAACACTGCATCACGCTTAAGTTGAGCCAGCACACAGGAATTCTACTTGCTAATTCTACGTGTGCCACCAATAATTTGGAAATTCCCTCGATTTTG